TTTTATTTTGAAAGAGGTCCCGGTTCCTGTGTTCATTGTGTTTAGTTTTATGTTTCCCCTGTGATGTGGTTAGGTTCATGTGTGTCAGCTGTTTCCCCATGTGTTGCCATTTCCTCCGATTACCTCATGTGTCTATTTAAGTCCTCTGTCTTCTTCAGTGTTGCGTCCTCCCTCATAGCTGTGTGATTCTCCCTGTGTTTTCTTGTATGATTTATTATTAATTTTCCCAGTTTAGTTTTGTTCTTTGTTTCCCTTCCACGGCAGCAATAAAGCTGTGGGTTTTTTTAGTTTACTTTTCATCTCTGCCAGTTTGTGTTTGGTTCCTTCTCTTGCCTGCACACAGCCGTTTTGTGACAAAACCGCCCCATGTTGTGTAGCTTTCTGGAATTTATATTTATTGGGCTACATATTTATTTATTATACAGGTTATACAGTAAAAAAAATAAAAATTCAATACAGTTTTTATGTTTTATGTAACTAAAGTGTTTAATTATGTGGGCTGCATAAAATAATTACGTTATAGACTATATTTATTTGAAACATGTATACTTACTGTATTTGACTCATTTTAACCATATGTAACACCTGCATATGTGTTAAAAAAATGGCTTTGATTTTGCCACCCCACATGATTTCCATGCCACCCTAAGAACATTTCCGCCCCTTACCTAACCCTAATGCCGAACGCTAACCTTAACAGGACCATATCATAGGGTTCAGGTTGTGGTTAAGGTTCAGCGTGGCTAAGGTTAGGGCTGCAATAGAAAGCCATGAAGCGAATAAAACGTGAAGCACATAGAAAGCTTCAATTAAGAATCCGGAGCGTCTCATCAGGACGTGGAAGGCTACCTTTCGTGTTACTATGACATGCATCAGGCCATGACAAATTGTCGGTATGTGTCACGGGCACAGGAGGGACTCAGACGCAGACTAGAATCACAGAAATCAGTTAGTTTATTTTCTTCACACCGAGTGCCACTGTGTACAGGTGAAGGAAGGGGATTTGGGGCCTCCAGGGGTCACGAGGGCAGTGAGGAGAAAACACATGCGGGTAATTCACACACAGGACTCCTCCTCCCAGGGATTCCTCTTCGTGCTCACACTGCACCAACACACCACACTCACAACAGATCAGCAGCAGGTCCTGGGGGGGGGGCATCAGAGTCTGGCATGAAAAGAGGAGATTGGAATTAGAATAGCGCTTCAAAGAGAAACTTGAAGAAAGCTGATGACTACAGAAAACACTGACGAGGGTTACACAATAATCCAGCAACTAAGCATTCCCAGCAGCTGCCTTAAGTAGTGAGCGCGTGAGAGTGTTGATCACATGATTGTTTGCAGGGGTGGTGCTGCTGTAACAGCTTTGAAAAACAAACGGCCAGGTACTGTTGGTGAACTAAAAGCAATGTTGGGCCTACTAAGTTATTACAGACAATACATCAAGGATTTTGCCAGAATTGCAAATCTTCACTTCACAATTAAATATCGCCCTGGTAAAGAAAATGTGGACGCAGACAGCCTCTCCAGGATGCCGGTAGACATGGAAACGTTTATGAATGAATGCACAGAGGAAATGGCATACGATGTAATTGGAGCAACCACACAGGCAGTGGAAAGGCAGGATGACTCCAATGTGTCATGGTCAATGGGTGTCTCAGTCAGGTGTTCAGCCATGGCCACAGATGTTTCCATCATTCCACTGACAAAAGGCCAGATCAAACAGGACCAGAGAAGTGATCCGACTATTGGACCTGTAATTCAGTGTAAACTAACACAGGAAAAACCATCACGTTCCGAACTAAGACAACTCAGCCCACAGGTCAAATGTCTCCTGAGGGAGTGGGGCAAATTGGAGATGGATGAGAATGGGATCTTGCACAGAAAAACAGCAAACAGAAAACAGTTGGTCCTACCAGAAATACACAAAAGTACTGTACTAAAGGAGCTACATGATGAAATGGGCCATCAAGGTGTAGAGAGAACATTGTCACTGATACGGGACCG